GAGTAATTAAAGTAGAGAGGTCTCCATATTTTTATATATGACCATATTTTTTTTCTGGGAAGTTAAAGTATAGAGACCTATATTTTGGTTTTTTTCTGGGAAGGTAAAGTATAGAGACCTATATTTTGGGGTTTTTTTCTGGGAAGTTAAAGTATAGAGACCTATATTTTGTTTTTTTCTAGGAAGTTGAAGTATAGAGACCTATATTTTGTTTTTTTCTGAGAAGTTACAGTAGAGACAGGCTTCCGTGTTGGTTTCTATTTTTAATTCTGAGAAGTTTAATTAAAGAGACCTCTACATTTTCTTTTTAGATCTGGGAAGGTAAAGAAGAGAGAGACCTCTATTGGGTTTTTTTCTGTCCCACTCAGCTCAGGTTGGCCCTGACAGGCTGGGTTCTAGTTGCCTATTTCCTAATGACCAATGTGTCAGTGAGGGCGTAAAACATGCCTGTACTGTCTATACAGCCTATATATTCTGGTGTCCAACCCCTTACATATGGCGCCCATATGCCCTTATGCAGTTGCGAGCGCAGTAAAACCTTTACTAAAACAAAAAAAACCCTCACACTCATCTTGACTGCTGTGCCACTAATCAACAAACACGTATCGTGATAACACGCGTGTGCCGTCCCCCCCATGTAAGTGTGAGGCCCTGCCTCACGATATCTCTCCACAATATTTTGGCTTCCGCTGTGCACGGTGTGTCGTGATATCTCCCCACAACACGGCTTCCCCTGTGTGTGGTGCTTGTCCTGGCACGCGCTGCAACTTGTCCTGGCACGCGCTGCAACTTGTCCTGGCACGCGCTGCAACTTGTCCCACACAAGTGTTGTACATGTATGTTGTCAGGTACACACAAGACGTTGCCTAAGGCTTCAATCGATGACCAAACATTGTTTTCCTGATTGTGAGCTGGGTAGGAAAGGGGCAAGTGTAGAACACTTTCTGCCGGCATTCAGATAAATATTGTATATGCAGTTTTGACAATTTTTCAGGAGAGCTAAAAAGAAAACTGAATGTTGTTACTAAGCAAAGAAAAACTGTTTGCACACATCGTAAGTCAATATTTTTAAGAATACAATTTTGATGATAACCTCTTTATTATCTTTGAAGCAAATGTTGCTATTTCTTTCCTATCAAACATCTATCGTCTTTATCTCTCCTTCTTCTTTTTTGTGATTGTTACTCTCTTGTAACACCTCTAATCTTCGGCACTTATATGACCT